TTTTTTTGACAAATACAGGCAAATTAAAAAATGTAAAATAAAAAAAAAAAAAAGACATTTTCAGCACGCAACGTTTCATCCTCCCATCAAGGCTCCTGTGTGTTACCATTCAACCCAGTGCACAAAGACGTCTGAAAGCCAGAGCTTTCATATAATAAGTGGTCTATTTGTTAAAGATGCTCAGACATTCAGAGGCTGTGTACTGCTCTGCGTTATTACCAAACAATGATCTAACACTGGGAAAAGAATAGAGGTTGACACATCATTTGTATATTAATCCTGTCTAAGCACTGCATGTTTTCACATGTTTCACAATGTCAAAATGTAGTCCTGAAAATACCAGCGGTCATGGGAACTACTACAAAGGCAGTTTTGAGTACTTTGGCAGGCTTTGATTTGTCTGTGGACAGATTTTTGCCAAGTCGCCTTGGAGGTCTTGTGGCTCCATGATTGACAGCCCACAGCTACGGTGAAAAGACTCCAGCACATTAAATGTAGGACAAAGAGTAACCTGTTTTTGTGTGGGACTATGCTAGGAGTTCATTTTGACATATCTAACAAACCTATCTAATATGTTTGGCATTTGAATGTAACACTCTCAGTTAATAAACAGTATAAGTAAGTATATATAAGTATAAGTATAAGCAAAACAGAAGATAAAGGGGTTTGTTTGTTTTTTTGGCTAATTTTAAAAAAAGTTTTACATATTAAAACTGATGTCACTAGACAAGATGTCACAAGCTACTCTGTCTGGTGACATCTTCAGGTTTTAGAAAAGTTGCCTCCACTTGAGCCAACCAAATCTGAGTGTGTGGGACAGCACCTCCCCTAGCCTAAGCTGTTTTGACAGCACAAGACCCACAGAGGGCAGTTTTTATGATGTAGTTGATGCCAATATTGTGACTACCTTAAATCCCCACCTTGTTTAACCACATCTGGTGCAGTTTCTATATCGGGCACAATAAATTAAATTGGCCTCCCGAAACATAGTCCTATTGAAACCTGTGTCTCTCATGTGTACCAGATGACTTCAGAGGGTGCTCCTGTCCTCAGGAGCATGTCGTCAGCTGGTTGGGATTACTGGTAAACCGTAGGAGCTCTCTAATTGGCTGTGATTGATTGAGCTGCTTCAGTCGGATGTCTTTTGGAGGTTTGAGGTTTTGACTCCATAGAAAGCTGCTGCTTGGCAGGAAGTGACTCAAAGCACCCTTCAAGTGCAAGTTTTTACCAACTCCCTTGTGAAGCAACTTTCTTTTGTCATTCTCCTCCTCTCTCCTTGTTTCCTCACAAATATCATGCCGTAATGTCTCTAATACCTGTCTCCCAGCAAGGATTGCTCTCTCATCACCCTCTCATATCCACCTCCTTCCTCCTGGATCTCACCGGCTGAGTCAGGTGAGGCTGACAGGTGAGGCTGACAGGTGTGGCGGCATTTTCCTTGAAGGTCTTTCAGCACAGCAGACCAGACTGCAGCATGACTGTCTGCAGTCATTAAAGGTGCTGATATCTGGCGCTGATGTCTCAGTGACTGCATCATTTTCTGTAAAAACGTACTCTGCGTGTGTGACAACGTCGTCATGTGCGATTTCTGAGTCATGCGTCTTGTTAGAGGCACGAGCAACGTTTTCTGTCTGGGTGTAACGGCCTCTTTCTGGGTCACTGTGTCGCTGTTTGGAGCCACAGTGACAGTTGGTGAGCCAGAGGTTTGTGGTCTGGTTTGAAAAATGCCTGCAGGGACGGTCACTGGTGTGAGATGCTGTCAGCGTGTAACCAGAGGGATATTTTTCCCCTTCTCCGCTCTCATGACACAGCTCACTCTTTGTCAAGGCCGCTGTCACGAGGCGCCAACTGGACTCTGTTACTACCCAAGCGCATGTTTCCGTCTCTGCTTCTTTGACCGTTATTCTGTTTTGTTTGGCAAGCATCCAGGTGTAAGGTGTGTTTTATTAGTCTGGGTTAAGCCCGCTCATTTCTTTCCTGTGCGAGGAAGTGCAGATATGTAAAGGGAGAAAGTGGGTTACAGTCTTTGGCGGCACTGGCCAGTTGAATTCAACAAATAAATGTTGCAACCAATCCAGCAGCCATCTGTCTGCTGATTGGTCCGTTTAAACCCCCTGTACATGTTAGACGTTACTATTTGAAGTTGTTTTTAGAGCAGGTCAAGTCGAAGTGCTCGAGTCTGCTCTTAATGACTTTAATTCCTCCATTTAAGTCACATGCTCTGATTCTCTCCACACTGTTTAATCATTTCTCATGATGTTTGTTTTAAGTTTAAGCTGAATTGGAGCCTGCTAGAGAATGCTAGGCACACATTACTGTCTTTGAATTGAGGGGTGAAGCTGTGCTGCTCTAAATCATGAATAAATAAATGAGTTAGCCCTGATACTTGGTGAAAAGAGTACTGGCTGTACCATCACATCCTGACACTCGCTCAGCGCAGAGCCCGGCAGCGTGGTAAGGGATGACTCGAGGGAGAGTGTTTGAGTTAGTGTAACACGGGCGTGTGAAGGACACACTGGCCAGTGATGAGCGAATGTGATCTCATTTTCCTGCTTCACAATCAGAAACCAGCCATTGTCTCACCAGGTCATAGTTTCTCTGCGCTGGGCTAGAAACAAACCCAGTGCCTGATCGCTGTATTTCGCTGCCTTCTTTTTCTCTTGTGAGTCAGTAGGAATGTGAGGAATGACCTTTGCGAGGACTGACTGTTTCCCACCCAGCTCTCATCTGCCCATTTTTAGTCATGCACAGGTCTAGTTTCTCCTTCGTTTTTCTTTGTCATCCTAACGCTCCGTTTCTTTACTATAACCTATTATCCATCTCCTGCTTTCTCATATCTTTTCTTTCCAGCTGTTTATGAGCACTTTCTCTTCTTACCCTTTCTTTTCAGTCAGCTCAGCACATTGAATTTCCACAAATTGCAGCATAAAGAAAGAGCCCCTGTGAGCCGGAGTAGCTTGGGCTGCATATTTTGTGAAACCTCAAAAACCACTGGACCTCTTCATCTCTTGTGAGAAGTGCCTCCTCCTCCTCTTCCTCCCATGGGCCTAGCAGTGGGGCTACATCAACCCCCTTTTTCAAGCCATCAGCATGTGGGGCTTAGCTTAACAACCACATCCAGCTCCCTTCAGAAGAAGGCAGTTGGCACACACAGGTTTGAGTCACAACACTGCAGGTTTTAACCGGTGCAGCGGGAAACCTTAAAGTGTGTGAGCATGAGATTCATAAGAAAAGCCTGCCAGAGGAGCTGTTCCTCTCTGCGTGTGTTGACAGGTTCCTGCTGTTGTGTTTTTTTTGTTTTTTTTGTTTTAAAAAGAGCGATTTATCTCCCGTTTGACAGGAGAGGGCTCTCTCTACCCTGCGCTCACGGCTGTTGCTGACACGAAGGCGCCTGTCTTGTTGAAGTGGTGTTTCTGTCTGCAGGTGTGCTTTTATACACACTTGAACACCTTAATTAGTCCTCTTTGGCTCGAGGAAAAGATGTGCCTTTTAAGTAACAGCCACTCAGAGCGATGAAATGGCTCACTCAGTGTTTTAAGTGGGCCATTCAACTTTTCTGGGTCCCGCTGCAGTCTGGCTGCCATTCAGCGAGACAGGGTAAGACACCACAGTAGTGTGTTGACCCGGGGAGACAAACACACTTCTCATCCTTAGTGCTGAGCACCAGCTGTTGCCAGGCCAATTTCTAATCCTGCGCTCTGTCTCGTCACATTAGTGAACTCTGATCACTTGTCATCGCAAATCTCTAAAGCGCCCATCACCCTACTGACCCTATAACTCTTTACTACATGTTCGAAAGTAAGCCAGCAGTGCATGGATGGGAACTTCTACTCTATTTGAACTCTCAAAATGTCTAAATGGAGCATCTGAAGCATCTAAGCGTTTTTTTTCTTGTTGGAAAAAAAAAACACACTGAAGTCAGGGTTCAGTATTTTGCCAAAGGATAACTAGAATAACTAGAGGAGCCAGGGATCGAACAAACGACCTTCTGATTAGTAGATAACCCACTCCACTTCCTGAGCCACAGTACACAGTACTCTCTCAGCCCTACCAGGGATACATCCATGACCTTTGTCACCACAAACTATAGTCTGACCAAGCCATGAGATCGGTGGGAAAGCTAATTATACTACTGAGTACGCGCACATACTTGGAGCTGGAGTTCAATGATTCCAGATTTGTATTTTTTCAAACAGCTGAAGGTTGCGTGAAAAGCTTTCCTACATGCCAACCATGCCTGCATGAGCAAATGATAACGGTGTCATCCAAAGTTATCTGCAATGCATGGAAAAAATCCCAAATCTCTCCAATTAATTCTCTAGCTCTTCCAACACATTCCTCAACACCATTTACACCATTTATTATCCTAATCGCAGTCACACCTAATCGCAATTTCCCTAATCCCAAACTTTATTGGATACGCTGTCTCTCGTGTGTGTGTGTGTGTGTGTGTGTGTGTGTGTGTGTGTGTGTGTGTGTGTGTGTGTGTGTGTGTGTGTGTGTG